TCTATACCAAATGCAAGGATTACTATTATTATTGTTATTATTATAAGAGAACTTCAAGTGAACAAATGAGCAGAGTTTAACATTAATGCTAGGGTCCACAATATTGCATCATACTGATGAAACTGCATCATTTAAAAAAAAGGATTTTATTTAACAATGGTTTCGTGATTTTCTAATCAGACTGGTTTTATATGTCCCTTTCCACTTGCACCATCCTGAATGGTGACAGGTTGGTTGGGTGAAAACGTGCATCATCAAGAATTTCATAATTTCAAATCACTATGCCACCAGTTGGAGGTGCATTTCGTTTAATAAGTCCCAGATGATGTGGTGGTAATTACACAACATCACTGTGCTGTCACTTCCTCACTTCAGGACCAGGTTTCACACTGCTACTAACACTCTCCTCCATTAACACCTCAATTTTTTAAAAAAATCACAAGCGACACAGAATCATTTGATGGACTCACGAAAAGTGGAGAATTTTTCTTACAAACAAAATCTCTGAAGTAACACTCTTATCGAGCTTTGTTGACAAAATGTCAACCAACTATTGGCACAGGAAGCAAATCACCATTGCAACTGCACTATTTCTCTGCAATACTATGCAATAAACACAATGCTGGTTCTAATTTCTAATTTTTCCCCACTTTATATCTGAATAATAATTCTTGCTTTTGATATAGCACCTTACCATGTCTTTGAGACATCTCAAAGCGCTTCACTGAATACATTGTAAAGTGAATTGACTTTATAGTTTGTTGGTAAAACGAGACAGCCAATTGCACACTGTAGTGTCCCATAAACAGTCATGGACTGAGTAACCAAATTACGATTTTTAAATTTTATTTTGTTACTGGGAAACAATTTTTTCCATCAAAACCCCTCAAAAATGTCAAAGACCTCCATGAGGTCACCTGTCAACCTTTTTTTCTCTCCAAAGAAAAAAGTCCCAGTTCCTGCAGTCTAATAATAATAATCCTTGCATTTGATATAGCACTTTTCACGTCTTCTAGATGTCTCAAAGCGCTTCACAGAATATGCTGTAAAGTGAATTGACTGTATATTTGTGGGCGAAACCCGGCAGCCAATTGCGCACAGCAGTGTCCCACAAACGGTCGTGGATTGAAAATGACCAATTTATTATTGTTTTGTTTTGGAGGGATTATTATTAATTCTGTGGTGACTGTCTGTGTGTTTCTCTGTGTTTGTGCGTAGGAGTGTGAATATATATGATTGTCTGTGTGTATGTCTCTCTATATGCATTTGTAAGTGTCTGCGTCTCTGTTTGTGAGTGCCTGTGTGAGTGTGTCTGTGTCTCTCTCTCCTCTGTCTGTTTGTGAGTGTCTCTATGTGACTGTCTCTGAGAATGGATATCTCATTGTGTCTGTGAGAGTGTCTCTCTTTCTCTGTGTCTCTGAATGTGTGTGTGTGTCTCTCTGTATCTGTGTGTGTCTCTCTCTCTGAGTCTGTGTGAGGTGCTGGGCACTGGACTCTCAGGGCCCAGCACCACACACAGACTCAGAGAGAATCAATAAAGTGAAAAAATGTAGGCTGGCGGTAAAATGTACATAAATAGCACCAATCAACTCCCCGCTATTTTCTCCAAAACCTGTAAAACAAATTTCCCCGCATGATCTTCGAATCTTCCCGTAATTTCGGGCAAATATTTCCGCACTTTTCTAATGACCCAGGTTATTACACTACACCACTGAGCTCTGATTAAGTGCTGAGATGCTACCCCGCGTGAAGGATGCTATATAAATTCAAGTAGTTGTTGTTAAAAGGTAGATGGATGAAAGAGTGACTCAGTGTTTTGGCTGTGATGGGGTGCGGTATGGATGAAGCCAGGGCATGTTACAGAGGTGGAGGAAAGACTTAAAGGAAACTTGAGGCCCAAGCAAACTGCCAAGATTGAGCACAAGCTTCGTCAGCTGAAATGAGCGGCCGGAGAAGTGAGACAGGTAAAAAGGTTTCAGTGGAAACCAAGCAGGATGGCTTCGAATTTGTTGTCATTCAATTGGAAGAACTTGACGAACCTGTCAGTTCGTCAGGTTCTGTCAATTTAGCACTGGTCCTGGAATCAAGGGCCGAGATAGAGAGGTAGAGTTGGGTGTTCATTCACCTGTATGAATCTCACCAAGAGACATGGTGAAGACCTTGAGACAGGTCAGAATGGAACAGGAAAGTGAAGTGTGGTGCAGGGAGGAAAGACGGAGGAAATGGATGGAGTGATCAACAGTGTTGAGGGATTTTACCCTCGCTAAGAGCCGCATTGGTGAAATAAATAGTTTCAAATGGTAATAACACAAATTCAAAGCACCTTATTTGTGTTTGGATTGTATGGCCTGGTAGCTGTGGTTCTGTTAGAGGCTAGGTTGAATCCATCAAGACTTTCACACTGAACTCTGCTGTGAAAGGTTTGTACATTTATGCAAGGAGGGACAAATGGTTCATAATGATTCAGAGAAAATAATATATAATACTCCTTATAATCCTTGCATTTGATTTAGCGCCTTATCACGTCGTTGAGACGTCTCAAAGCGCTTCACAGAATATATTGTAAAGTAGATTGACTGTATATTTTGTGGGCAAAACACGGCAGCCAATTGATAGAGTATCAATAGATATCAAATATCAACAGAACCCTAGTGTTTAGAATTAAAGTTTATTACTGACTCTGCTGCCCATCAACTCTGCGCTGATGTTAGTCTCCACATGAGCCACCATGCCAAATCCCACTCTCCTGCACACTCCCCACACTCTGACATTCCTCTTTTTCAACCGTCTAATCTAATTCCTTTTTAAATAATTCATAGGCTTTTGCTTCAACATCAGTTTGTGACAGAGAATTCCAATTCCACCCACCCTCTGTGCAAAGAATGTTTTTTTTNCTAACTTCCCCGTTTACGACCACAACCATTACAACACATTAACCACAGTCAGGCGCTTGGGTCCTCAGGTGCCGTCAACTCAAGGTTCTTGTTTCAGGTGAAACAGGGTATTTTAATTGTGGACCAAAGTTTCAGGGAGACTTTACAAACAGATTTTTTTAAAAAAGTGATCTTAATTCTTCCAAGTCTTTAAAAGGTCAAATGCCCCTTGTAAAAGATTGAGTCTGAAAGATCGTCATTCTTCACAAGCAGCAAACAATAGGATCCCAAAGTACAAACTCTGCGTTCAACAACAACGTGCATTTATATAACACCCTTCATATGGGTAACGTCTCAGAGCGCTTAACAGTGGCGGAGCTTGACATCAAGCTGGGTGGGGGGAGAGAGGGAAGGTGAAGAGGAAGATCTTCAAGTGCAAGGTAAAGACAGGCAAGGAGGGGGCAAGGTGGAGGAATTCAGGCAGAGATTTCAGAGGTTTCAGGGTGTTGTGGCTGAAAGCACAAACAAACCAGTCGATCTTCAGGATTTGAAAGCTGACAGGAAAACGTTGAGGCAGCGGGATTTCAAGAGAAAATTTCAGAAGGAAGGGTCAAAATGGCCTTCAATGGGGCAGATATGGTGGGGGGCATGAAGCTGGCTGGAATAGGTGGAGTGGCCAGGGGAGAAACATTCAAAGTCATGGAGGCATTTGAAATTGAGAATGAAGTTGTTAACTTCATCCACTAGGGAACAGTGTGGCTGGATGAGAATGGGGGCAACGGGAAGAGGACATGGGCTGTGGCGTTCTGTATAGCTTACAGGGTTTATGTGGGGTGGGGCTGGGGATGCTAGCAAAAGGATCTAGGATCAAGGAGTCTGGAGGCAATAAAGGGTTGAATGTCAGTTTTGGGTGTGTTTGGGGTGAGGGTTGCAAAGATGAAAAAATCAGACTTGGTGAGAGATCGGATTAAAGGTTTGAAGGAGAGTTGTGGGTTAAATAAAACACTGAAGATCCACACAGGTCCTGATTTGCGGGCAGAAAATTCATAGGAGCCAAGCAGGATAGGTCCAGTTTGTTGACACTAAAATGACTTGATGTCACTAGGGGGAAGCAGAACCCTATGGAATGTCTCTCATGACTGTGCAGGGGCAAGAGGAGGAACCATTAGATGAGACGAAGTGAAGATGCTGGGATGAGTACGAATGAGCGCTTCTCAACGTGCTTCACAGAAGATATTGTAAAGTGAATTGACTGTATATTTTGTGGCAGCCAATTGCGCCTGGCAGTGTTCCAAAAGCAAGTGTAGATTGAGTAACCAAATTATTATTTTTTTTGAAGAGATTATTAACCCTGGAAAAGCGATCTAACACTCCTTCCTTACTGCTGGGTAAACAGAGGTGTGTGGAATAAAGAAACTTGCCGAATGTTTCGCCCTGCCTGGAAAGCGAGCTCGGGTCGAAGCAGGCACAGGGAGCTATATAAAATAATCACGAATATTATGCTTTGACCAGGGATGTCTCAGTATCATGGGCAGAGCGAAAGCCAGAGTGGAGGGACTTGGTAAAGGAAATAGTGGGAGAGTAAGTCTGTGTTCCAGTACCTAGGAGAGATGGGCAGATTAAAGAGTGATAGCTAGAGGTTTGGGAGGGGTCCAGTGTAGTTATAGGAGTAAAAAAAAAGGGGGGGGGGGGGCGCGGGGTAGTGATGGCAGTTCTGAAAGGGAAGTTCCAGGGAGGAGTGAGAAGTTGATGACTTAGGCTGGTGGGTGGGTGAGAAGAATGGTACATGGGTAGGAGCGATATAGGAATAGGTTCAAGGAAGCAGGTGGTAGGTTTCGTGCGGGGGCTGAGGGGGAAGTGGAAAGAGGGGTAGACATTAACAGAGTCGGTCAGGAGTTAAGGTATTTCACAAGTTTGACATTCTGCTTTCTGAGTGACCCTGACTTCATACAGACTAAATTGTAGACGTGACACAAAGCATTGACAGCTGAAAATGCAGAAATTCAGCCTTGAGACTCTTTCAGGCTTTATTTTGTCAGTCGTACTTTACGTTATCCACCCGCTCTGGTGAAGCTCAGGGAAAAGGGTTATTGAAAGAGCACTTTCACAGGTGTTACATGTCCTCACCTTGAGATGGGGTTTTGACAGAAGTTTCACGAGCTCTCTGATCTCACTGTTCATTGGTGTGCTGTGCAGGTCTTCAGTGAGCTATGAAAGAGATTGAATTGACAAGAGAAAATTTCAGTGTAGTTTTTAACTCGGAGCATCAGTGACATCTGAGAATCTATCTTGTTCAAGGCTATTACTTTCCAGGGTGTTCAAACTAAGGCCAGCATGAAGAATAACAGACCATTAATCACCAGTCTTCTTTTCTGGCCCTCAGTAGACAAGCTCTGGCTAGGCCCCATCAGCTCAGTATAACTCAAGTAATCATATGTGGCAACTCTACAGCCAGATCAACCTCTGATTTATTATAAGGAATGGAGAATCCCAGCACCCATGGTAGTGAAAAAAACCTTTGCATGCAAACAAACCCGTGTTTTACAGAGGCAGGCTCTATCTCCCACACTTGCTTCATGACCTGTTTTCAGTGCGGCGTTCTAAAATTTACACTACTGCATTGCAGACTGCAGCTGTTCTCTGTGCAGATGAGAGTCGATATGGTGCCACCCACTGATCTTGATTAAACATTGCAAGTCTGGAGAAGTGGAATGTGTCCATGCTGCACAGGAACAGTAAATGCCTGTCTTCCTTCTGCACTGGTTTGAAACCACCGAAGAAACATATCTAGGTTTTGTTTTTAATAATAATAAACTTTGCATTTGATATCGCCCCTTATTACATTGCTGCAAAGTATCAAAGTGCTTCACGGAATATACTGTAAAGTGAATTGACTGTATATTGTTGTTAACTATCTACTCAAGAAATTATCAACTGATGTTAATATCTCCACACGATGAATACCAACACTCTAGACTTCAACACTGCCTGACCTAATCCTATGGGTAAGGTGCAAATTGCAATAAGTGTAAATTGGTTAAATTATACAAAGGAAGTTGGTGCTTTTAAGAATAAGGCACATTAGCCAAAAGTTCAAGTACACCAATTATTTTAGTCACCTGGCTGTCCGAAACATGCGGAACCCATCCGAGTGCTTAAGAGTTTCCAAATCATACAGAGTTCCAACACATATGTATACCACTTGGTAGCACATGGAAATTTCTCCGTGTCTGGAATGGAATACACACTCACTCCCTGGAGAGACACACCCTGCTTATCTATTTCTGGATAGCATTAGGCAGATTCGTAGAGCCCAGGCTTGGGAACTCCTAAATGTGCCTTTTGCATACTGCCAGAGTTTAACCAGCTAAAATTTCCCACTGAAACCACTGTCTGGCAAGCTTCCTGTTATTTGTCCTGCTAGGACCACAATACTGGACTCCTGGATGTACAAACATGCGTTCACAAACCAGGACTCTAGATAACGCCTTTCACAGTCTGTCGTTCCAAACCTCAGAGTTTCCTCATCAGCTATTTGACGGATATCTGCAGTCAGTATGTGGGAAGACCTTTAATGCCAATCAGTAGGCTGAAAAGGTACACTATCTTCACAAAAGGTTTTTTTTGTAACTCACTTGCCATTTTCATCATGACTATATCAAGGTACTGAATCATACATTCTACTGTGATTTATTTTATTGCATTGTGCTTTGTAAGAAATGTTTTCCAAGCATTAATTCACACAGCGTTCCTTTAAACCACATTTACACGTTGTTGTATTCTTAGGATAGCTCTAATTCAAAACAAGTACTTATAAAATAACATTTGTAAATTTGGCAGGAAAACAAAAATTTAAAGGTGGAGTAGAGTTTCATAATACATTAAAGGGCTGGAATATTTATACAATTAGGACAAAATACTTGTCACTGTCCCAAAATCTGGCCAATGCATTATGTTTTTTTCATTTCTTCAAACGTGCATAGGTTTCAGATTACTGTCAGTCGAACTAAACATTTCAGTGGATGTTCAATGCAATACTTCTGGCATTGGTTGATATGGCAGGACTATCTGCAAAGACTCCTATTCTCTCTCACTCACTGCTCATATTTATTTAACCAGAGAGTAATTAGCAACTCGAACAGCTTACCAGGAAGGGTGGTTGGGTGCAGTGCAGGGCACTTAACCCATTAAAAACCATATCTAACTTTGCCAATCTTTCTTCAGAACTTAATTCTTGATGTCAGGAACATTGTTCACCTCAGTACTCCATCAGAGACAGAACATCTCCAATAAATGGGTGACTAGTCACCACACCTAATACAGCAATAACAGCGACTTGTAATCAACTCCTGTCAAGGCTGTTCAATTCCTCATTTGCCGTCTCAGCTGCCCTTAAGTATCACACAATGCAAGCCAATTTGTCGTAGGACAGAACAAATCTTACATGGTTTATTTATAAAGCTTATTATCCATAGAACTCCTTTGAGCTGGTGATAAAGCCTCCCCCCACCTCCCGAAAAACTAGCAAACTTCTACATCCTGGGGATATTTTCATACATCGTCATTAGAAGGGAAACAGATCTTACCATAGAGTGCCTATGCACATCATTTCTGTTCAGAGTGCTTACCAAGTACCAATATTTTTCCTCAAGGACTTTCCAAACATTTGGCCATGCAAATATGAACCAGATATTCCTCGGCCTATGCTAACACGGCTCTTAAAAGGTTTCTTAGGATATGCATAAGTGTGTGGAGATTCCACAAGATTTTTCTTCCTATCCCTGTTGAAAACCTCTCCTCTTCCTCATTGTTGCCACTTAGTGTCTGCACATGTAAGACCAAATAAGTTATGCAGTTCATCATGTTGAATGCTTAGTCTTCCGTAATATGCTGTATTGATGCACAACAAACTGTGCCAGGTTGTGTGCAGAACAGTTTTCAATTACAGTAAGCAATATTTCCACAGCAACGGGTTTAAAATTATAACCTACTATTTATTTAAGACATCAAGAACTTTTGCAAGGGAATGTTAGCAGCAAAAAAAATTACTTCTTAGCAACATATACGTGACCAAGCTCAAGGTTTCTATGAAACTTGGCCTCAAGTTATTTTTAAATTACTTTTAAATTAATTATTTTCTCCCAAACTTTCTTTTTGAGCTCTCTTGAAAAGAATAAAATCCACAGATCATCAAATCCATCTATCCTTTCCTAGCTGCCTAAAAAAACATAATGAATTATGCTGGCATGAACACAACTTTAACAAGAGACCAAGATTTAAATCATGCCGATACTTTTTGTTAGGTAAGCGTATCAAGGGATATGGGGCAAGGGCGGGTAATTGGAGTTGAGGTACAGATCAGCCATGGTCTTATAGAATGGCAGAACAGGCTTGAGGGGCTGAATGGCCTACTCCTGTTCCTGTGTTTCTACTTGACACTTAAGAGTGCTCTGGATTGTTAAATCAACGTAACTGGGTATAAACTAAGTTCATGCAATTTCACTAAATCATTTCTCAAACTGCAAGGGCAATTTATTAAGAAAAACAATAATAAATCAAATTGTAGAACACAGAAGTTTTACTGTAGCCATTTCTTATGCCCCATTTCTTTCACTCGTCCGTCTGTCATTTCACCCAAAGTGACGCTTTGTATTTTTATTGGGTCTTTTGCATTCCTTGTGCTTTTATATTGCCTGAAGCGTGTGTTATTTGAAAACTCCTCTCTTTTTTCTCCATTACGGGTCTAATCTGCTTTTTACATCAAAACAGCATTATTTTAGCAAGGAGAAGAAACACGGGATTGTTTTTGGAAATAAAGAAACCCAAGGAGATATTCAAAGCTTCTTTAGAAGAAAAAAATGTTTTGTTGGTGTGGGGGGGAGATGAAGGGACTCAAGCTGACTTCACCAGTTCCAAGCAAGTACTCAGGATGCATTCGCACCAAATGATCTCATCACCAGGATGAAAGAGACTTACATCATCTGCCAAAATGGCTGCGTCCTGAAGAATGGGCGCCGGGCTCTGCCTCTCGTATTGCTGAAGCTTCTCATGGATCTGGAACACAATCAGAGAGCTTAACGTAAATTCTTTACCCAGGAGGAAGCGAGGCAATATAATCTTACTGAACAAATAGAACTACAGCCCCTGTGACAAAAGAAAAAAAAGAATTATGGAAATCTGAAAACGTCAGAAACAAGAAAATGGCAATTCATCACAGATACTGCCAGTGGAAATTGAAGTTAAAAATACATGCATACAAACATCACCTGGAAAATATGTGAAGTATTCAGTGTAATTGCAAATCACCCTCTGGAACTCCATCCTGGAGTCCCTCTGTCTCGCGCCCCTCCTTTGCCTCCTTGAAGGCCCAACTCAAGATCTTCTTTGAGCGTGCCTTCAGTCATCCTCCCACCGCTACCCTGTTGCCCTCCACCCCTCTTGATTCCAACCCCCAGCTCGGGTGCAAATCCATGACTGTCCAGCGTCTTGGAACTCCTGAAGTGAAAGGTGCTATATAAATGAAATTTGTTCTTCCTGTTTTGCAAAACTAAAATTTTTTTTGCCAAATTTATTTTTCAAGCCCCCAATCTAGTAGATTACATCTGTATTATTATTTCATACACATCTGGTTTATTACTTTTTTTAATTTCCTGGGTGATGTAAGCTCAATTTCTTTTTTTCTATTGCTAATATTACAGGTCCAAAATATAAATATACTAAAAGTTTGTTTGCTTGAAGACAAAATTGAATAAAATGAAATTGCCTCACACCACAGCCTATATTTTAGCAGCTGCAGTTGCGAGACACCATGTTATAATTCAATTTAGATTTTATCATTTTTCTACTTTGTGAAGAGCTGAAGTATTTCTTGGCACAACTTTAAGAACAGCTGATCCCTGGGAAGGTCAGACAGCAGCAACTGAAACTGCATCCCTCCATTCCATCACTGTGCATTGGCTCGTGCTTCAACCCAAGCTGTGTCCCATCTGGAGCTGCACTTCCTCTGTGACAGACTCTTTTCAGCCGCCTGACTGTGTTACTCCTTAACAGATACAGTCTATTCATATTCAACATAAATCAGCTGCTCCTATGGAGCTTCTGACAACTGTTTGACATGCACATATGAAATAGTAACCACAGATAGCATTTCTACACATTTCAGTCAGTATTTTGGCACTAAATCTTTGATGCGCAGATAGCAGATAAACTACTTTTTTAATATAATCTTTTCAAAAAAATCTCATCTCGGGGTTGCTGTGGGTGATACTAGCGAGGGCTTTTTTTTTGTCCGTCCTGAGAGAGTGATAATAATAATAATAATCCTTGCATTTGGTATAGCGCTTTTATATTTTTTATTTTGATAGTGGGCCTTCCTTTTAAACCGCTGCATAGCCCTAAACATTGGATAACTATGTACAGAAAACTGGAAGATGAGTAATCTGTAATGTTTCCTTCCACTGGATAAATATTAATGTCAAAACAACGTAAATAGAAAATGCTTTGTTTTTTTTAAACATGGAGGAAATGTATCTACATTGCTATAGTAGGTGTAGTTTGTATAATGGTGAATTTTAATCTAGAAAATATTTTTTGTAGTAACTACTCAGACAATAACTTCCTTTTTTCACTTAAATTTCAGTACATGTGGCATAATCTTATTCGATTACACAAGAGGCAATATGGTTTGCGTGAACATAAAATATTATATACATTTAAACTCAATTCCATGAATAAACTAGCTTGATAACTCCTTTGTCATAAAATCTCAAGCGAGTTATCTGGCAGACTCGGGAGTGAATTTATTTATCCCCTCTTCCCCTAAAGTACAATATTGGATTTCTGAAGTTTCAGACAAAATTCAAAAAAATTGTTCCTCGATGGAGGAACAATGAGGGCAACAGAGCACTGAGAGGAAGTGGAGAGTGAAATTACAGTGCAAGACATCCTTGATGTGGTTCCAGTTCTAGTTCTCTTCTCCTTAGTCCACTGGTGGCTCATTGCCACTGTCCTTAAGTTACTGGATGTCTGGTTTACAGTGTACAAACACTCTCAGTGGATAGATTTTAGAGGCAGAACTTAGAAACAAAATCCTGAATAGTTTGCCTCTGTTATTTTGGTCATGTATGAAGAATAAAGTTACACTTATATAACAATTGCTGCACTTCAAAATGGAGTACTTCGAGACAAGGTTTGATAAGGAACTATACCAAATAAATTAATACTTGCATTTGATATAGCATCTTATCATATCATTGAGAACTTCACAGAATATATTGTGAAGTGGATTGACTGTGTATTTTGTGGGCGAAACACAGCAGTCATTTGCGCACAGTCTTGTCCCATAAAAGATTGTGGATTGAGTGACCAATTTTTTTTGAGGGATTATTACCCCGAGAAAGCGATCTGCCAAACGACTAACAACCGGGTTCCTACTTCCTACTTGGCAAACAGAGGTGTGTGGTGTAAGGAAACTTGTCTAAGGTTTTGCCCTGTCCGGATCCTCTTGTTTGCAAGGCGAGTACTCTAACCTATACACTACAGGACTCCACCAATATGCTAGTATTACTGCTAATTTTCTTGGTGGCGCTGTGTAACTGTACCCCAACGTATATCAGTTCTTTCAGGAGGGGAAGGAAAAGAAGGGATAAAATTGGAGAAGATTTCAAACTTTCTTTTGTCAAGATGGTTAATTTCATTTCATGGCTATTTGTGGGGCACCGACAGTATTGTGCAATTGGGTTGTCACGTTCACCTACAAATAGTAAATCCACTTCACAGTAAATTACGTGAAGCGCTTTGGGATGTCCCCCCCAAAGTCGAAGGTGCTATACTAAAAGTAATGATTATAATAATAATAAATCCTTCAATCGAAAGCTTCCAAGTAGAAACAGTAGCTCAAATTAAGTGAACTTGTTCAGATAAGTCTTAAAGTAGCTAGCATGTACAACAGCTTTTTTTTTTGTTTTGCATCTTTGAAAAAGGTTTTTTGAATGAACTTATCTGCAGCGGTAATCCTTGCAGTTACATTGCGCCATCACATCATATCATCGAGATGTCTCAAAGTGCTTCACAGATTGTACTGTAAAGTGGTGACCTGAGGTGAATGCGCCAGCCAACTTGCTCACAGGAATGTCCCACAAACAGTCATGAAGTAAATGCTTTTTTGAGACAACACAATGATTTGTGCGATTGTTGGCCAGGGACCGGAAGAAACTCCCCTCTCTTTACGCTGCATTGGATTCAGCAAAGACAATATGGGCTCCAAGACCCTCAAAGGGCTTGAATCTACAAACTTCTGAGCTACCAACTGAGCTAAGCCCTTTCTCTCTACAACCACAGTGAGGAAAGGAAGGGCACCAGCACAACTAGGTTCAGTATAAATGTAACACAAGAAACTTTCAAAAGAAGATCCCTCTGGTTTGTGGTAAGCTCACAGTTTGCCACTACTGGCTAGTAAGTTATTGATAAAACTGTAGTAAATTATTACCACAGAATATAAAGCATAATCATTTGGAAAGATCAGCCGCCCTGTCTCACTCACAGGCTGCCAAAACCCTCATATATGCTTTCATTACATCGAGGCTTGACTATGCAAACTCCTTGCTTCTCAGCCTCCCCAACTCCTCCCTCCATAGGCTGCAGATCATCCAGAACTCTGCAGCCCGTGTTCTCTCCCACACCAGGATCCGTGACCCTATCACCCCCATCCTCACCCAACTCCAATAACTTTCCATCACACAGAGGATACAGTTCAAGATCCTGTTCCTCACCTTCATGGTCTTGCTCCCCACTACCTCTGCGACCTCCTAACCCCCTACCATCCTGCTCGCTCCCTCTGCTCAGCGGGCTCCAGCCTGATTCACGTCGCCCACCTCGCTCGCCCCACTATTGGCAGGCGGGCCTTCTGCCACTCTGCCCCACTCTCTGGAACGCCATCCCGCAGTCCCTACGCCTCGTCCCCTCCCTTGCCTCCTGCAAGACCCATCTCAAGACCTTCCTCTTTGACTGTGCTTTTGATCTCCCTGCTTCCCCCCCTGCCCTCCACTCTCCCTGATCCCGACCCCCAGTTCGGGTCCAAAACTTTGTCTGTCCAGAGCTTTGGGACATCCTCTCGATGTGAAAGGTGCTATACAAATGTAATTTGACTGTTGTTGCTGTTGAAACCCACTTCTTCCAGAGACATTGCAAAACTTCCCGAATCACTGACTCGGGGGAAAGGTAAACAGGAACTGGAGATTGTTCCAGAAATGCAGACAATAACACCTCCCCCCTCTCAAAATATTCATCCATCTCTACTAAACAAACCTAACCTCCTTTTCTTCCACAGAGACCAGTCCTACCGACAAAAGCAATTTCTGTTGAAGATTAAATATGCCCTGTGGAATATTCAATTCATGCTTCTCTTATTCCCCAGTACTGATCTCAACCAAATGCTTCTCCATTTTTTTTCAGTGGAGTTCATCAGCAATTGCATCAGCTATGGTTGCTAATTGCCTGTTGCCAGAATGACTAGACTACACTTTTAATGAGGATTTTGATCCAACAAGTTGCATTTACATAGCACCCGTCAGTGGGTAGGGTAGCATCTCAGATCCTGCAATGTCCTGTTCAATACAACAACAACAACAACAACAAGATTCCATTTATAGAGCGCCTTTCACGTTGGGAGGATGTCCCAAGGCGCTGGACAGTTGGGTCAGGACCCGAGCAGGGGGTAAAATGGTCAGGATGAGGGGAGGGAAGGGAGGGTGCGAGGAGGGGGGAAATGGTCAGGGTGAGGGGAGGGAAGGGAGGGAGCGAGGAGGGGGTAGAGTCGAGAGGGGAGCTGAAGGCTCGGTCAAAGAGAAAGGTCTTGAGACTGGCCTTGAAGGAGGAAAGGGAGGAGGCGGCGAAGGCACTGGGGGATGGAGTTCCAGAGCCTCGGGGCTGAGAGGCTGAAGGCCCGACCACCGATGGTAGAGCAGTTGGGGCGGGGGATGTGGAGCAGAACGGAGCCAGAGGAACGGAGGGTACGGGCAGGTAGGTAGGGGGATAGTAGGTTGGAGAGGTAGGAG